AAAAATACAAAAATCAGCCAGGTGCGGTGGCGTGCACCTGTAGTCCCAGCTACTCAGGAGACTGAGGCAGGAGAATTGCTTGAACCCAGGAGGTGGACGTTGCAAGATTACACCACTGCACTCCACCCTGTGCGACAGGGCGAGACTCTGTCTAAAACAAACAAACAAACTAAAAAACACAACCCACAAGCCTGGTGTTTGTGTCTGACATGCTGGTGACTAGTGATGCTCACCTTTGATTCTGTAACGTCAAACACACTTTCTTCAGAGGAGAAATCCGACTTTAATCATAGAGCACATATTGTCGAGCACGCAGTTAGGTAGAAAACCCCTAACTTTCTGATACACTCACAGAATCACGAGTGCTCCGGGGCGTGAAGAAGCTGCTCTGGCTCTGAGAAGGGGCTCGTGGGAGAGAAGTTGCCTGCTGTCTTCAGACACCTTCCGTTCACCTGAGGAGTCTCTCCAGCAGCTCAGAACAGTTATTCCTGGCTTCAGGTAATATGTCACATTCGTTTTAATTAAAAGATGAAAAATACTCCAGCCAATTGCTTTCAGAACAGTCTATTTAGGACCCTTGAATCAGAGGGCGCTCGGGAGACCAGGAGACCCCAGTGCAAGTGGGGTGGTGGTCCACTCCATCCCCCTAACACGGGAGCCCTGGTGAGTCAGAGCACCTGTGCCCCCATGCCAGCATCTCACCTGGCCTTGGGAAGCTGCCCACACCACCCTTGGCATTGGACACGAGCCGATACCAGCCATGCTTCCAACATTAACCAGTAACACAACTCATTCCCAAATGTCTGGAGGTTCATATGCCCTGAACATATGTCCTTTAAAAAATGAGGAATTCCTGCCAGCTTCCTGAGTAATACACAAAGTCCAAGTAGAAAAGATGCTGAGGAATCAGGAAAGGTTGAAAACGAGAAGTTAATCATTGACAGTCACACTGCAAGTGCCATTTCCACAAACAACATGTTCATCTTCAGAGGCCATCTCACTCGAGACTCACAGAACTACTTAGAGAAGATGCGTGGAGAGCGCGGCGGGTGCCCATCCTCCCGACAGGCGCTGTTCTTTAACCCGGCGTGCTGCTGAGATTGCCTTTTCTCAGAGCTGTTTTCTGCAACACTAAATGGCACGCAAGGAAAAAGCAACGAATCTCCCAGGAAAATCATGAGCTTTGAGAACCGCACGAAGAACCAGAAAGTTTCAAGTCCAGAGTCTACCAAATTATTAAAGAACATCTTCTGTGGGCCAAGAGAAACCAGCCCATCAGCATACAATGGCTAGCGCCCAACCACAGAAGGAGCTGAAGATGTGAAGAAACACATCCTCCCCCGTCAGATTCGCGAAGGCACAACTATAGCCTCTGCAAAGGCCACAGCCACCAGGATTCAGCCATTCTCCACCAAGCCGCGACTATGGCCCATGCCAGGAACACTGAGGATTCTCCACCAAGCCGCGACTATGACTCATGCCACAAATACCGAGGATCCACCAAGCCACGACTATGACCCATGCCAGGAACACCGAGGATTCTCCACCAAGCCGCGACTATGGCCCATGCCAGGAACACCGAGGATTCTCCACCAAGCCGCGACTATGACCCATGCCACAAATACCGAGGATTCTCCACCAAGCTGCGACTATGACCCATGCCAGGAACACCGAGGATTCTCCACCAA